ATTTTCTTGAAGTTCCTGTCATGACGCCGTACCTTGAGGCCATCCTTCCCCTGCGGCGCAGTGCTGGTCGGTGAGTTGAGAAGCATTCGTGTAGATCAACGAAGTTATCCGCGAACAACGGCGATTTCGGCGGTGCGCCAAATTTCCTCACGAACGCTCGCACAGAGCGTGGTGCTCGTCGACGAGATGGATGTTTTCCGCGCACTTTCTCAAGGGCATGGCACCGCGTTTATACTGGAGGCCATCAATATCAAAGCCATCCTCACCCTGGCAGCGCAGTGCTGGTGGGTGAGCTGGGAAAGTGTTCTTGTAGATGAACGGACATTTTCGGCGGAAAACGGAAGTTACAGTAGGAACACTGGCTGAATCACTCCGCTCACCGATGACTACTGCGCGATGGCCAATAATCGCGAGGAATTTCAGGAATTTTCTTGCGATCAAAGGATTGTGGGGGGAAAAAGAAAACCGCAGAAAACAACCCGCCCACCGATGACCACGTACGCGATGGCCATGAATCGCGATAAAAATCTTCGCGTTGTAGTCCCTTCTCTTTCTCTCTCATTCGACCTGCGGCGTTGTTTTTTACAGCCACGGTTACCAGCACGGCGCTGCCGGGGTCGTTGGTTTCTTCGAGATACGGTGTCATGTACTTGTTGAAGAATTTTTTTTTTTATCAGAGGAAGTGTTTCGACAGGGCTGGCTTTTTTCTGGTGATGCCCCACAACTCCCTCAACGAGGTAATGTAAGGGCCGTGATCCCTTGCAGCAGGCCCTCAAATAAGTTTGTTAAATTTTTGAAGGACATGACACCGTCCATTTCCTTCTTGAATTTTCGACCAGGATTTAGTTATTTGGTGTTTCAACAGGATCGTTTCGTCGAGAACCCAATAAACTTGTTTGAGGGCCTGCTACAAGAGATCACGGCCCTACAGTATCTCGTTGAGGGGGTTGTGGGGGCATCACCAGAAGAAAGCCAGCCCTGTTTGAAACACTAATTCTGGCCGAACATTAGAATTCTTTAACAGAAGACGTGACACCGACCCGAGCAATTTATTCTCACCCTGCAATGCTGAAGACGGTGGCGGTAAGATACAACTCCTCAGGTCACGTTAGTTTTATTTTTATTTCTCCCATCATTGGACTCTGTCGTCTGCCCCTCTGGCCCCTATCCCCCACTGCTACTACCTAGACGACCCGACCTGGGTCACATAGGAGGGGGAGGCTGGACCCCCTCCTGCGGTTCCTGTCTGATATATGTTTATCGCGAGAAGGGTACAGCAACCCCTTCCCTCGCGACTTACAAAGTCGATTATGGTTTGCTAACAACGAGCTTGGCAGCGCGTCACGTTCCTTCTAGACCAGGATTCATTTAGTGAGAAAAAACTCACTCTGTCGGGACTCGAACCCATGACCTGGCCCTTGGTAGGCTGCGAGGGTACCCACTAGACCACCGGGGCGACCTCAGTGAAAACGGACGAAAACGTCCGCACGTTCTTCCTCGCGATTGTTGGCCATCGCGCAGTGGTCGGCGAGAACACCATTATGTTGAACGAGTTGTTTGTTCCAGTCTTCTTTCCCCCCCCCCCCCCCCCCCCC